TCTACCGCTTTTGACATGTTTCTACCGCCTACCGACTTAGCAGGCTTTCCCTACCGATTTTTAATCTTCCCAAACTATAACAAATAAAAATGACACTCCATAGACACTTGACTCGACTTTTTGGCGGACACCGTTTACAGCGTGACTGTGATCGCATCATACAAACAGTCCTCTGTGTTTCTGAAAGAGAAACAACGTGCAGACCGGGGGTAACGCTGCCTTTCCTCTGCACCCCCGGGGCTGATGGGTAATCACTCCCAAATTAGTTTAAGGGAACAGAGACGAGGCATTTGAGTCCTGCAGGGTTTCCCCGTTAATATCAGTGTCTCGAAAACACATGTTGGCAACTGAAAGACATCCAGTGTTTGGTATTTTCCGGAAGCATCCTACAGTGTCTCAACTGAAAGAGGACCACAAACACACACAAAATATAATACAATTTTGAGATTTGGGGATATTTATCTCCCATTCTTTCACTTTTTCTGACATTTTCAACACCAAACATGTCGTTAATGTCTCTGTTTAGTGAACTACAGCAATCTGAAAGCCTGTACATTATTTTTATCACACTTTATCAGAAGAAACATGCAGGAAATGACTTTTTTAATGCAGTATTTTCTGATATATGGCGCAACCCAAAAACTGTATATATCAGTCTGTGCAAACCTTTGACTCTAATATGTCATCAACATGAAATAAGAATATGAACCTGGCTTTATCCAATGTTCACACAAGAGTTCTACATCCTGACACATCCTTCATCTACTGTATCAACTGAAAGAGGACCAGAAACACATTAAAAAATATAATAAAATGTGGAGACTTTGGGATATTAATCTCCCATTCTTTTACTTTTCGGGCATTTTACAGACCAGACATGTCGTTGATGTCACTGTTTACCAAACTACCACTTTTTCTGAAAAATTTATAAAATGATGCAATATACTGTATGTTAAATACATGGTTTATACATGTAATTAATGGGGTTCCATTTCTTCTGATTATCTAATTTGGGCGTGAACATTTGACGCGCGCAAACCTACCTCTTTTGGATTTGGAAAGGTTGGCATGTATGCAACACATAACAAAACTTCCGCCGCTCACGGCATAATAAACACACAACAAAAGTCAAAGTCCCCAATGGACAAATGGTCACGCTTCCCAAACTGTGTCCAGCAAAAATACACAAGAAAGGAAATAATTGCGCCTACCGCGTTTAACTTGTTGTGCGCTGCAGTCAATGAGTGTCCATCAGTGAGTCATCGTGGCTACTCCAATCCATATCGATTAGGGAAAAACGGTCCGAAGGTTCCAAAGGTACAGAATGTTAAGTCCGTTATCCGAAGCGTCCAAGCGATCCGTAAGCTTAGGAAGCCGGCCGGTCCGTCCAGTTCGGACTCTGATGGGAATCACCGTTTTTTCTGTTGACTTAATGTGGCGGCTCAATCCCCAGTTACATTTGAGTCGCCGAGAAGCTAAACTTGGCTATAAACTGTGACGCGTTTTCGAAAAGAAAGTCCATATTGAAGCAACAGGCTATAGTTTTAAGGATATTTAATAAACAAAATCAAAACATAGTAACTATGGACAAAACGGTCAACAGAAAAAATGACAGCACAAGCTGTCATTCTGTCATGTGCACTCGACATCAAACAGGTGACTTATATAACCAAACCACAACCATGTGACAATTACCGGAAGTGCTCAACAAACAAATAAAGGTGACGTAAATAATAAGAATAATAATACAAATAATGAACTTGAGCTAAGTAGCGTTATGGCACCTACAATGTACTTCATCTACTATAAGTAGTTTGTTTGAATGTAATAATGATGTTGCTTGTTGTTTGTGGAAGCGCGTCATTTATTGAAAAATAAATCTGAACTTTTCGATCTGTTACGATTATAAACTGAAGAAATATAAACTCAGTTAATGAGCTCCATTAACTGAGTTTTAAACATCAGCATATATTACCGGTCATAGTCCGGTAATTACCTGCTAACGGAGACCCAGCTACACAATTATTATTATTGAAAACGGTAAGTTTCGAATTTATCCGGTAAAATTAATTATTTCCGGAGACTTGACCGGCAAAAAAAATCCTGATCGGAAACCCTGATTCACAAGTGGGGTTTTACTGACGGGCTTTTATGTCGTCCAATAAATCATAAAAATCTCTTCAGTTTGTGTTAATCACATACCTTCATTCAGGTTTACCACATACATTTTCAAAAAGCCATTCACTTCGAGACAAGGATCCGGGAATGGTAAACGCTAAATCATTTCTGGGTTTTATGAGTCATTCCTGCATTGCTCTTTACCGGCTGGTGATATTTTTTGTGCGTTGTCATATTTTATTATTACCATCTGTTTTTTTCATTTGTTAAAATACTGGATGACTTTGTGTCATGCTGCCTTATATTCTCAGTTCTTTGGACGTAAGGGAAAAACAAATCAAAAATGTTATTCCTGAGTTTGGTTTTAATAGCTATACATTTCCTGGAACAATTTGTAAAGTTCCAAACCCAACTAACTTTTGTTCTTTGTTGTGTCATGATAGATAATACAACTAAGGGCACATTGTAAGCTTCGTGTACACATTAGCACCATGAGCTGTATGAAGAGCGAGCTGGTGCGTTCACTGACTTGTCTCACTCCAGCACCATCTAGTTGTTGAGGTAAGGAGTGTTTCCGTCGTCCAGGTGGAGGCTTCTCCACCACCTCACAGCTGCTCACCCCGTTCTCCACCAGCAGCTCGTCATCCTCCCCCACCGACTCCAGACGAGAGCCCCCCCCTGAGCCGCAAACACAATAATTTCAGTCCTCTGCACAGAAGTAGCCATGGTACGGTACAAAATACCAATACAGACTCTGGCTAGATTTGACAAGTATGTTCTTGAGATGAAAATGAGAATACATTTTTTTTTTAACCTGTGGACTGTTATTTTACGTGTTCTAGTTTTAACTGTATTTCAGTCTTATGTATGCGATTGAACTTAATCCGAATCAGAATCCCTTTATTAGTCCCACAGCAGTAACATTTACAGTTTGACAGCAGAAAGCGGCATAGCAGGTTGAAAAGAAGGCATGCAATGATAAAGAATATGCACATTTATTAAATGATATTCTATGGACAATCATGCACCAAAGGTATTGATATTGAAGTGACTGTTATTTTTTATATCTCGATTGTTGTGTTTTTTTATCTTAATGTGTGCATATGTGTAAATGTGTCTGTTGAGTGTGTGTATATACAGTAGGATATACATATTTTAATACATATCTGTATATTGTATAATTTTATTTTTGCATTTGGATTGTTGGAAACGTCATTTTGATCTCTCTGTCTGTACACACAAACTGAAAGACTGACATTAAAGTTGACTTTGATATAGAGAAGAAAAGCACACATTAGTAATACTTGAATAAAATAAAGACAAAAAAAGTACACATCCATGGCTAAAAATGAGGTTACATATTAGGTGTTGAGACATTATGAACATGTTGGGACATTTAAAACCGTGTTTGTTTTTCACACAATGGTGATTATTGCACGGTATTGCAAGAAAAGTGTCTGTGTTGCACATTGCAGGTTTATTGCACACAAACACATCCATACATGCTATACAGTATACTGTATGTATGAATATTTGTACCAAATTAGATGCAATCTTTCCATTCCAGAAGCACTTTGGGCTTAGTGTAAATCTTTTTTCTGAGAGGTACTGACCCTGGGCTCGACTGCAGATCTTGGTGGTTGTTGGGCTCCAGCAGGACCCTCTGGGGGCCTCTGTCTCACTTTGTCCTTCTACCTTCTCCATGTTAGTCTGTAAGCAGAGAACACACACAGGTATCAGTTCATCTCTTCTTTAAAGTGTCTGATATCTGTACATCCACAATTAACCTACAGAGCAATACTAATATATATATTTGTCTGTTGACAAACTGTTAACATAAATACAACTGTTTGGTTTGACATCACAACACTTCCATTGTGCACACACATAATATTAGGCGTGACCCCAAATAGCCGACTGCTCTATCTGAGGAGCCTATTCCATAACCAAACAGTCTGAGTTTCATGGAAATGTGGTTATGAAACAAAGGATCTCTCAGGCAGTATGAGGCTGATGACAGTCTAAAGATAATGGTTTGGTTTCTCCTATTTATCATGATATATTGTCTATATACTGTATATCGGAATAAATGTTATCCTATTTATAATGATGTTAATACAAATGTAAAAAGAATGCATGTGCTTTTAGTTAATGGCCTTAGTGTGCATGACAAATGCATCATGTTAACTCATTTAAACTACCCAAGTTTGAAGAGATCAACATCAAAGTATAGATTTATCAATTATAGCAGTGGTTCCCAACCTTTTTTCCCAAGAGCCCCCCCAAATGACTCCTGTTGGAGTCCTGTTGGAGTCCCCCCCCCCACACACACACGCAACAGCGGTAATTAAAGTTTAAAAGTCTAAAAAATGCTGCAACTGCTGTCACAAACTAGATGAATGTGATGTATCTTTGATGGTTATTGGACTCAGGATTCATTCATTTGGATGCCAGCTGTATGAAGAAATTAAAGGACGGCGCAAGTGGAAACAATTCACAAAGGGATTAAACTGTTTAAAACACATGCTCAAAGTAAGCCGGATTTTCCCGATGTGTTTATGTGGATTCAAAAGTCGTAAATAATCTACAAAATGGAGGAGACCGATCTGATCGGAGCAACTGTGACAAATAATCCAACTGAAACCGGCATGGACAATGACTATGTTTTAGAAATGCGCTTATCCAGACAAGCCTGGTTTGGACACTTTACGGGCAGAAGAAACATTTCTATTAAAGAAAGAATCATACATTTCTGTCTTTTTATGCCTTTATTAGCTACTAACTTGAATTTTTATTCAAATTAATTAATCAATTATTTTTTATATTTTATTGTAATGTAGAGACAAGGCTTTTAGTGACAATCATGTATTGATTTACAATTATATGTAAAAAAAAAATTAATTCTTTTTTTTAAAAGTCTAAATATGATATTTGGCCTCAAATCTTCTGAGGCCTGGCGCCCCCCTGCGATCTTTGGCGCCCCCCAGGTTGGGAACCACTGTTGTAGAGGACGGATGTTTTAACAGCCCAGCTCTGAGTTGTGCTCTTCCTGCTGAAGTGACTGACAGGCAGAGGGGGTGTTCATCATTTATGACGTGGAGCATCCAATTGGCTGGTTTGCACAGTATTTAAGATGGTTCCTCTGTCCTTATCAATGTGGCAAATGGCAGCTTATATTTTCTATGTCTACACAAATCAAAAAATTATATGAATCCAAGTTTAAATAAATGGCAACATCAATGTGGTAGGATAAGTCCTAGAGACACAGGCCTATACATTTTTGAATGCATTACAAATGAATCATTTGTAATGATGCATTCATATTGAAATGTTAATTGTTTTAGTACCTTTTTTTATAATGAATATTAGGCTATTGTAAAAAAAAAAGTCATATTTCACTAAAATATGGCAGTTAGCAAATGAGAAATTAGGTTTTTGATCACTTCCAAGAATCCCTTTCAGGAATCCAGACAAACTTTAAACATGTTGCTACGTCCTTGGAATCTAATCTAATCCCAATTCTGAAAGTGTCAGAGTTAATCATTTGCTACAGAGCGCAGGATCACACGAAGTTTCAGTATGTTCTATACCTTAAATGTGAAATCTATTTACTCATATTTGTTTTTGTACATTAACATGTAGTACTGTTCCATTAAATGTCTTATATGTATTTAATAACCGTAATAGCAAAGTAGAAATACACTGTATGAACACATGCAAATACTTACACATCTGAACATATTTACACAAAAAATGACCCTAAATGCAATTCTTATTCTTTATCAGTTTGTTACATTTAAGATAACTTGACTTATTTTATTACTTTAACAACTGCTGTTGATGAAAATGTGATCAATTTAGGAATCTGGGGGATTATTTGGGTTCAAAATGGGGTGTAACAATAAATGTTTAAAGTGGTAATATGGTAATAACTGCCCCTAACTAGCACCACGACCACTTTACACTTGTAAAAATATGTGGAACTCCTACGGATAAATTGCCGTTTAATATTTGGATCACATGCTGTACATACTGCCAGGATTATTTACATAAAAGATAAGGATTATTATTCCACAAAGGCATACCTCTATACAAACATTTCTCAAATTGTGTTTCAGGGTGTGGGTCAGTGCTGAACATTAAAGGAGAGGTGGAGATGGATGCCATTGTGATGGATGGGTTAACTCTGGNTCACTCACTCACTCACTCACTCACTCACTCACTCACTCACTCACTCACTCACTCACTCACTCACTCACTCACTCACTCACTCACTCACTCACTCACACACACACACACACTAACTTTATAGGAGTGTAATATCATAACTTACATTACTCGTACCTTGAGTGTTAATGATAAAGTGTTTTATAAAAATGATGGATAGTGAGTGATTCCAGTATGTGTGTTCCCCCTAATCTGCTCCCCACTAGATTGTTAGAATGCGCAAACTTTGTCTACGCTTCTCACTGCAGTGACAGATATTTGACTGTGCGGTGCGGCTCTGCTGGGGGGGGGGGCATTGGGTTAATCAGATTACATTTGTCTGTAACGCAGTAATATCACACGTCACTGTTGGTTCAGCAGTAATTACATTACAGTTACTAAGCCCAAAATGATTTTGTTACTTGCGTTACTTTAAGGTCTCCGACTATTATCTGCATAACGTGAAGACAGAAAGAAAAGTCAAACGTCCTGCGGGGTGAGGCCTCGTGAAGAGGGTTGGTGGCTCTGATGTAAATGTTAGCTGGTGACTCCCTTACTCCTCACACAAACTCACAATTACACACAAAAACAAAGTATATTATCTACCAGGTAGGGATCGGTGCTGCAGTTGGAGGTCTGGGGGGAGAGAGGGGGGGCCGTCTGGGGGTGGCAGGACAGGGAACTGCAGGTGCTGACCAGGTCCGGCAGACTGGTGGAGGGGAAGCGCTCAAAACCAACATCTGCCTCTTCCTGCAGGGACGCAAAGACAGAAACAGTCAAATGTAAGATGTTGCTTTCAATAATGTGTATTCATTATGCTACACATATACTACAATGTATTGCCCGTGTCCAACTGGTACAGTATAAAATACTATGGCTGCATGATGTTATCACAACAGGAACCCTAAACTACCTGGAACTTTCTCAAGTCTGTCATTATATATTTGTGTTTAATGGCTTCCTGCATGGAATAGGGAGAATGTTTTTTGAAATTGTGACAAAAATGTCTTCCCACTGTTGAGACAAAATACAGTTTTTATACAGTTAGCAGCCTCGTGCAGGAGGTGTGATATTTAAGAGTTAGGATGTTGAGTGTTTGTCTTCAGTGAGTCCATTTCTGTCTCCACTCTTTCCAGTGTATTGATTCCAGGGATGTTCCCCAACATTTGCATGGATATCCATTTGGCAGGGACTGAAGGTATATTTGTGTGTGTGTGTGTGTGTGTGTGCGTGTGCGTGTGCGTGTGCGTGTGCGTGTGCGTGTGTGTGTGTGTGTGTGTGTGTGTGTGTGTGTGTGTGTGTGTGCGTGTGTGTGTGTTACCCTGCTAGCCACCACCAGCTGCACCAGACCAGACGTGGAGCGGAGGATGCCGACAGCCTCCTGATGAGTGAGCCCCACCAGAGACTGACCGTTAATCATCAGCAGCTCATCACCAGCATGAAGACGCCCGTCCCTGAAACACACACAGTTAGACGCACACACTTACATAATACTGTGCATATATATTTACAACACCCTCAAACTCAAACAGAACTTTTATCACACCACTCATCACAGGTGTCCAATATGTTACAATAGCTTGCACTATCATTCAATGCTCCACTGAGGTTGAACTCTTCAAGTCTTTATAACTATTTTATACAACATAACCGGCATAGCATTAAGATAGACATAGTGAGTGTCCATCATGGACTTGTTTGGGTAAATAAGTGTAGTAGCTTGAGTTCTACAAACAAATAAACATCACATCATCAGCATATAGATATGATAGTGCTAAACCTAATAAAAAATAGTATAATTGAATTTTTGTGACAGTATGAATGCTCACTGTACCTGTGAATTGCACCCGCCTTCTCCACGCGGGCGATGATGATGCCATGAGGGGAGCGCTTGGAGCCCCGCCCCCCTGTGATCTGTATGCCGAGGCCCTCCTCCCCCTTCACCATATGCATCTTCCAGATGTGGCTGCCCTCTCTGGGCTACAAAGCAGCACAAACAAACATACGTCAAACATTATGTCAAATCAGGGTTGTGAGACAAATAATTTATATAGATCATAAAGCGGAAAGAAAATCAACCAGATGAGAAGGAATAAATAGAAAAGGCTGAATCTGATGCTCAAGAGCATATATATTAAAGAGGCCACATTATGCTTTTTGAGGTTTGTCCCTTCCCTGTAGTTTGTTATAGGTTTGTGTGCATGTAAACGGTCTGCAAAAGATAACATCCCTGTGTTCTCTCCCTCACACTCCCCCCTTGCCTGAAACACCTCCATTGGACTCCTTTATAAGTGACATCACAATGTAACACTCATGCTTCTATTGGCTAGCGCTCCAACTTTTCCTTTTTGAACATTAAAGCATGGAGACATGTCACAGTAGAGATACTAAATACTTATATGAACCTACAAATGAGCAGAATAGGGCCCCTTTACATTTTACGCTCATATAGTATGTCTGTTTTGTTTGGAATATACACATGTCCGTCTCCTGGAACCTGTTTTTACTTTCAAATCTGTCATCTTCCATTTAACAGATTCCAGTGTGTGTGTGTGTGTGTGTGTGTGTGTGTGTGTGTGTGTGTGTGTGTGTGTGTGTGTGTGTGTGTGTGTGTGTGTGTGTGTGTGTGTGTGTGTGTTGTTTTTCCTGTGTTTCTACTTAGTGCATCTACAGTACAATGACGGTGTAGAAGTACCTCAGACAACCCCACATCAAAACACCAAAACTGTCCCTTTAACGTCTGCAATTCCACAGCTCAGCTTTATCAGATATGTTCACGACTTGTAAACGTAACAGGATTTAAAAGAGAGGCCATCTCCACCGATGCTGGCTGCAGACATTATCATCTCCAATCCCTCTGATGGGAGGATGCACCAGCTGTCTGTCTCAATCCTCGGACGCACATGTTAAACACTATCACTATCCTTTTCATGCTATCAGACATCTGGACACACATCTGTGGACCACTGAACACCTGGCAGCTGGACCCAGCTGTTTCTGGCATTTCCATTTTTGTGATAAAGTGTTATGCAATCAGGAGGATTTGTCCCCTACTGACACAGAAGGCGGCGCAGATCCTGGTCCAGGTGTCTAATACACTTATGTATAATCTGTTGACATAATACACTTAAATCAAGTCAATGTTTCAGTTTTTTCAGTGTATTATGGTATTGTTGATAACCTTTAATAATCTTTGTTTCTTGCTTCATTATTTACATACTTAATTTTGCATTTATTAACATTTACTTAACAGTTAATTATGCAGGTGAAAACAATGCCTTATTAAGGGTAATCAATAAAAGCAGAGGTTGTGGTCCCGTGGTCACTTATATAATCCTCAGAGTCGCCCTCCTCCTCATCGATGGCTCCTGAACACTCGGAGAGCAGAGCCTCTCTCCTATGGGCTTAGATTTCTCTCATAAACATTTGTGTGAACACAAAAATAATTTGTGTGTAAATATGTGATTTGTAAATGTAAAACACCATCCACAAATGCATTTAAAAGATTTGCAAACTCACAAATACATTTGCAAATGTAAAAAGGATCTGCAAATAAAAAAAAGATCTGTGAATACTATAATTAATTAACAAATAAACAAAATAAATATCTCTTTAATATTGACAACTTTCGATCAGGTATTTGTGAATCCATTTTGTATTTGTCAACCAAAAATGCGCTTTTGGATCTCAAATCTCTGATTGTGGATCGTCTTTTTACACACAGAGTTTTGAGACAAACTTTCCGTCGGTCTCGGCCGAAATCTGCTCGTGTCACTCGGTTATTTTTGGAAACCACGTGATGGCCTGCTGATGATGATTTCCGCATTTCAAGGTTTCAAAGAAACGGTACGTCCACACCGTGTCTGGAGCGCAACCAATCACATGAATCTCCCGTCCCGGACACACAAGCATGCGGTTTGATTGTCTAGAGCAGTGGTTCCCAACCTTTTCCAACTCAGGGCCCACTTTTAAGTCTTAAATTTTTTCGAGGCCCACCTTCCCATAAATACAGAGGCCATATAATGCGTTCTCAAAGCACTTTTTTTTATTAAAATTTGAACATAAATGGAGCACTGAATACAAGAGAAACATGTTGGAAGCTCTACAGTCGCTAACACAGCAGTGAGGAGCTGTACACACACA